ACCGGAATTTCATTACTTTCTTTAATTTGGACGTGAACAGTTCAAGTTGATAAGTCATACAGTGGGTGCGACTGGAACATTATTGGTGGGTGACAGGAAGCGATAAGTGATAACAACTGATATGGGCTGATAAGGAGCGTTAGAAAAGGAGGGTCACAGGATTCCTAGTGCCGGCAAGGCTGGTTCAGGGCATGGGTCAGGAACACTATTGGTGGGTGGCAGAAAGTGACATGTACTGATAAGATTCGATAAGGGATATTAGAACTCAAATGTCGCCTGATTTATAACAGTAACAGTAGCAGGGCACATCGTTGTTGGGGAATACACAACAGGGGAAGTCGTATTTGGTACTACTCGACTACTCGACTAGAATTCCCAACACGGCACATCATTGGTTGGAGGATTTTAGTCGAGTGTACGACACCCCCCCCCTTTTTTTTGGGGGTTGGTACGACCCCTCCCCCTCCAGCCCTCTGTCCCTCCTCATCGAATCGAGCCGTCGAGCGAGGGCGGGGGGAGGGAAGGAAGGGGTGGGGGGGGGGGCATATAGTACGCATGAAACAGGAAAATCACGAAAAGTCAACAACCACCACTCCCACCACTCCTAGAAAGGCCAGAAAGTAAATACGACCCCCCCCCTCCCAACAATGACCAAGTACGACCCCCCCCCCTTTACAACGTCCGTGAAGCGAGAAAAATCAACTATCAAAATAAATTTTCCCAGCCCAAATACGACCCCCCTCTCCTGGCGGCCAAATACGACCCCCCCCTATTGGGGATTCCCCAACAACGATGTGCCCTGATCCCCAACCAATGGTGTGCCGTGAACAGTAGGCACTTGCTTCCCACGGTAATATAAGAGATGTCACAGGGATATTACTGATCAGTAGCAGAAAGGGATAGCAGCTGATAAAGCTGATGAAGGGCATCGCCCTATCATCCTTCTCTAAGGTTTACATCTTCCACACTTCCAAATCATAGAGCTTGAGTGATATGAACTTTTGACAGCTGACGAGCGATGATATTAATTGATAAGAACAGATAAGAGGTTTTTCAACTTCATTTCTTACCACTGCACTTCTAAGCGTTTGGTATAGCGGGCTCAGTGTATATTGAACACATTCCTTTACTGCTCTTACGAGCGCGGGGGGAGGTGGGACACATCATGTGCGTGAAATGGAGGGAATCAAAACCCTTCAACTGAAAAAGTTGAGAGTTGCATACGCGCAACTGCCTGCTCTTGTGCTCTTGACAAAAATATGTTTTAGGAGAGGTACACTCGAAATCCCTGAGATGAGGTAGGCGTGGCTGCGTACTTCAACTAAACGTGGTGGTGGCTGTGCTTTTGGAGAGATATTTTCATTTTGACCCATGGTCATGTCTCTGTCCAACACTGAACAAGATGACAGTTGTCTCGAACTGAAATATCCCACGAGTAACCCATTCAGTGCCATGTTCAGAATGCCACGCCTACTCCGTCTCAGGGATAAGGAGTGTAGATTGCTTCAAATCTGCAGGGAGTTTGGGGTCATCGAGGTCATCAGGTGAGGGTGTGCTGGTGAGCTCGTGTTGGAGATGGAGTTAATTGGGCCCGCACAGACCGCGATCGGAATAGAATGGGGTTATATGTAGGGCAGTCGGCATGTTTTTGTTCTGCTTTTTTCACTATCAAGCTACTCAAAACCTTGTCGGCTATGTAAACCCCTAATCCAGTAGCTGTGATGGCGAATGATCGCAGGCTTTGCCGGGAATGTGTGGCCCATTCGCAATGAGGCTCCTCATCTGGTCCCACGATGTGACTATGGGAACCGCGGCGAGGGTGGGATATGTTGTGCAATGTGAGCCAGCCACCGCGCTGAACGTTTCCACCACTCCAAACCTAGACCATTTAGTTTCTGACTAATAACCGAACCATTGTGATGACTCTCTTTCAGTACCTTACTGTTTTTCTGACTCATTACATATTTTTGAGACTACCTGCGTGTACTGGAAGCTGCAAAGGATGGCAAAAAAACTAATGCTCCCGTTTTCAGCCCTGTAGGGTGTCGCGGCACGACCTCGATGGCGACAGGCGTTTTCCTACGAATTGGACTCGTTGTTGGCTCAATTATTGCAATGCCAGAGGTATGGTGGTTTCACCGATTTTTGACTGCTCCCTCGTTATGGGCCCCCATATTCTCACCAGAATGACGGGCGGCGGAGCGAGTTGGGAAATTATGCTTAGTTGTAAGCCTAGAGAGAAAGCTCCACGGTGAGTCTCGAAATGCCCAAGCCTCAACTGCTCAGAGAACTTTCTCAACCCACATATATTACCGTGAGAGCCGAAACGCTGATGAACAATCCAGAGAAGCGTGAGGTAACCTGATCGAGCCGAGGCGCAAGCCTTGTGCACGGCTGCGTTCATAGTTTGCGGCAACGTCCACCACGACTACTAGCGTTCCAAGCGCCCAGCAGCGTCAGCGACCAGGGAGGTATAGATGTCGGTCTTGCGATCAGCAGCTTCTACCAACGTCCACCGGCGTCCACCAGCGACTAGCAGCGTCCCGAAAGCAAGGGAAGTATAGATATCGACCTAACGACAGCAGGCGTCTAGGATCGGACAGCATGGGGAGAGAGGAGGGTAGCAGACTGGTATCGCCTCGTACTCCCCACTAATGGTCCTGGTCACTGGTGGACGCTGGTAGACGCTGCTGGTCGCTAGATCGATATCTCATAGCTTCCCAATCGCTG